CACTGCTGAAAGAAATTAAAGAGGACACAAAAAGATGGAAAGACATACCATGTCAATGGATTGGAAGAATTAACATTGTGAAAATGTCCATACCCAAAGTGATCTACAGGTTCAATGTAAGCCCCATCAAAATACCAATGACATTCTCCACAGAAATAGAAAAAAAAACAATCTTAACATCCATATGGAACAACAACAGACCCCCAAATAGCCAAAGCAATCCTGAGCAAAAAAAATGAAGCTGGAGGTATTATACTACCTGACCTCAAATTATACTTTGAAGCTATAGTAACCAAAACAGCATGGCACTATCATAAAAACACATACTTGGACCAATGAAACAGAATAGAGAATCCAGAAATCAATCCACATACTTATAGCCAACTGGTATTTGACAGAGACACCAAGAACACACATTGGGGAAAGAACAGCCTCTTCAGCAAATGGTGCCAGGAAAACTGGATGTCCATATGTGGAAGAATGAAATTAGACCCATACTTATCATATACCAAAATCAACTCAAAGTGGATTAAAGACTTAAATATAAGACCTGAAACTATATAACTCCTAGAAGGAAACATTAGGAAAACACTTCAGGATGTAGGATTGGGCAAAGACTTTGCAAATAAGACCCCAAATGCACAGGAAACAAAAGGAAAAAATAAACAAATGGGATTATATCAAGCTAAAAACTTCTTCACAGCAAAGGGGATAATCAACAGTGTGAAAACACAACCAACAGAATGGGAGAAAATATTTGTGAACTGTTAATCCACCAAGGGACTAATACCCGGAATATAAAAGGAACTCAGACAACCTAACAGTAGAAAGCAAATAATCTGATTAAAAAGTGGGCAAAGTAATTGAACAGACATTTCTCAAGGGAAGACATACAAATGGCCAATAGGTACATGAAAAATGCACAATATCACTAATCATCAGGGAAATGCAAATCAAAACCACATTGAGGTATCATCTCACCACAGTTAGACTGGCTATTGTTAGAAAGACAGAAAATAACAATGCTGGTAAGGATGCAGAGAAAGGGGAATCCTTCTACACCGTTAGTATGGCCTTTATGGAAGATAATATGGAAGTTTCTCAAACAACTACAGTTAGAAGTACCATACGATCCAGAAATCCTACTTCTGGATATGGAAAATCATCATGTGGAAGGGAGACCTGCACTCCCGTGTTTATCACAGCTCTATTTACAATAGCCAAAATATAAAACCAACACAATGGAACACTACTCAGCCATAAAATTCTGCCATTTGCAGCAACATGGATGAACTTGGAGAAAATTATGTTTAAGTGAAATAAGACAAACACAGAAGAGACGTACCACATGTCTTCACTCATAAATGGGAGCTAAAAAAAATAAACAACAAACACAATAATAAGTTGAACTTTCAGGCGAAAAGAGAACTGTGGTTATTAGAGGAGGCAGAGGGTGGCAGTAAGGAAGAAATTAGTTAATGGACATAAAGAATGAGTACATTTTGTAATAAGGAATATGCCAACTATCCTGATTTGATCATCACATATTGTACACAAATACTCATGTTTTGGCAAGAATGTAGCGGATCTACAACTCTCATACATTGCTGATGAGAATATATAAAATAGTACAACCACTTTGGAAAACAGTTCGACAGTTTCTTAAAAAGTTAAATGTTCTCGAACCAAAGACCCAGCCTTTCTACTCCTAGTTTTTTGTGTGTGTGTGTGTGTGTGTGTTTTACTTAAGAGAAAAGGGAATTTATGTTCATATCTGCTTTCTATATGATAGCCCAAAACTGGAAATGTGTGTGTGTGTGTGTGTGTGTGTGTGTGTGTGTTAAGAGAAAAGGGAATTTATGTTCATATCTGCTTTCTATATGATAGCCCAAAACTGGAAATGACCCAAATGTCCTCAACAGATGAAGAGATAAACAAATTGCAGTATATCTATACAATGGAATACTACTCAGTACTAAAAATGAATGAACTGTTTATACAACCAACAACATTAATGAATCTCAGGATAATTATGCTGAGTGTAAGAAACCAAACAAAAAGGGTACATATTGTACGATTCCATTTATATGAAACTTAAGAAAATTCAAATTAATCTATAGTGAAAGAAAGCAGATCAGCAGTTACTTGGAGATGGGGAGTAGAGGAGGAGTGAGAGGATGTTTTCCAAAGTGGCACAAGGAACTTGGGAGTGATGGGTATGTTCACAATCTTAATTGTACACTTTAAATATGTGTTGTTTTTGTATGTCGATTATACCTCAATAAAGCTGTTTAAAAAGTTAATGGATTCAGTAGGTTATTGTCACTGAAAGACACTCAAAAGTATATGTTCATACACTGAAGTATTTTTATTTCTTTCTACAGCATTATTCTAACCATGCCTTGCGTGAAAACACAAAGAAAATTTACAATAGGTTATTTTTTCAAATTGACTGTTTTGATTCATTTGTGAACCTTAAGTAAAACTTACCATAACCATAGAGGTGGAATGTACCAATTAATTTAGTTTAAACAATTAAGTTAATAATTTTGCTAAGGGCCTCAATATTGTAATTTATAAACAAAATCCGAAGTACTCACTGTAAAAAATTGATGATAGTTGATAGCTTCTCTTAAATATGTTATGCAGTGAGTTTGAAATTTATTGCTGTGCCTATCTTGGAGATACTTATTTTTTCAGACTCAATATTAATTTTTACAACATAGGGTTTTCTTAATCAAAATTATTAAAATTAGTGATTATTTGATGTACAGTAAAAGTTTATAATGATTGCCAAAGTTTATACATTGACCAGTTCGTGAAATTAGTTCTAAATTTTACCACCTAACCTTGTTAGCTCTCATACAAGTCAAATGAGGTCCAAGAGTCTAAAATCAGATAAGTATATTTATTTCCATGTATTCATATTTTATTTTAGTTTAAAAGTTCCAGATATTATTTTAGAAATATCATTTAATATGAGAAAATACAGGGAGATATCTCAGAAAATAAAAATCTATTATAGATTTCACCAATATTTACTAGTCATTAACATTAACCACTTTAAAAAGTAAATTTAATCACAGTTAAATCTTTATTTAAATGCACATGAAAAATACGTAAAGATGTTAATGTTTTTCCCCAAGTCCTAAAACTTCAATCTAGACTCATTAAGAAATGTTTAATTTTGAGCTTCCTTTAAAGATGTCTATTAAAGGGCCAAGCGCACTTGGGAGAGTGCGGCGCTGGGAGCGCAGGAGTGCTTCCGCCGCGGGTTCGGATCCTATATAGGGATGACCGGTGCACTCACAGTGCTCACTGGCTGAGCGCGGTGCGGCCGGTCTCAAAAAGGACAAAAAAAAAGATGTCTATTAAAAATGTTTATCTATTGATAAATGATTGTGTATTTTCTAAGTTATCTCTGATTATGCAAAAGGAGATTTTTCTATTTTCGAGCATATATCATTGATGTCTATTCTTAGCACTTTATGTGCTCATTATCTTTTATCATAATGTTTCTGAGAGGAAAGTATCATTATCTCCTCTATTTAAAGTTGAAGAAACATTTCTCTGAGAGATTAACTTGCATAAAATTTTCTGCTAATAAAAGTTAGAGATAAGAATCAAATCCAGGTCTGTTAGGTTCCAAAGTTTGTACTCATTCTACTACACTAGGGTGACTTTTTATAACTATAATATCTGGCGTTTTTATGTCTTACTTAATCTTTGTAAAATTGTAAGTTCAATTAACCAAATAAATTAAGAAATGTAAACCATAGTTCTAAAGTGAGGTAAATTTTTTAAAGTATATTTTTATACTATCACTATTTATATGTCATATTACTCTTGATTTAGCACAAAAGACACTCAAGTGGTAGCTGTGTTGCCATTATTGTTGGCATTATTGTTGTAGCAATTTAACAGGTACTGTTTAAATTAGGGTCTGTGAAATAGTTTTTAAAGATTAGGAGTATGCCTAAAATTACCATTGTTTCATAGTCTAATATAAATTTTAATGTAACAATATGTATCAGTATATTCTATGGTGGGTTTTAACAAGTTTGATTTATTGAATTCAGGAAGTTTTTCATTTCAGGTTTACTCTACTTTATATAAATCCAGAGGAAAGAAAATAAAAATATAAGGGCCTCAATCCACTTCAGTATTACAAATGAAACTCTGTGTCATGTAGTGTTAGTAAATTATCTCCTCTCATTTACAGTCTCTTTTGAGAGACCACATTAATATGGGTATGTCTAAAAGTAGAACCTTTTGACATCCTTTATTAACTTTCTTGCCCAGCCTTAAAGAAGAAACCCTGAAAAGTACATAATTTCACTCCAACTGTAATAATGCAGAACTCCTAGCTGGAGCCACAACTGTATTCGTTCTTTATGTCATAACTACTTTTCTTTCTTCTCTCCTGAGTTACTTTTACCATTTCTGAGCTCTTTTGAATATTGATAATAATTTTAGAAAGGTTCGACAATGTAAAAGGAAGACGTCCCCTCCTCCTGCCACATTTCTGAAATTCCAGGTGTATGTTGGCTTAATTCTCTTCCTAGCATATGTTTATGAAAAGAAGTTGGTGTGTCTGAATTACTAATTTTCTGATTCAGCTGAAGGTTATGATTCCCAAACTGTGTATCATTATTACACTAGACTTTTAAAAATAGAGTTATGCAAAAATTTTGTCTTAAAGATTAGAATCTCCTCACAACCTAAACAGAAATATTTATCATCATTGCCAGAAATACAAAGAAAATAATCTGGAGACATGAGCAAACAGCAAGTTAGTGTTCGTGAATTTAGCTACAGAAACTCACTGTTTGAATAAGAATGTACTGGATCTGATCATTTGAAATGTGCTCATTAGTTGTTTGTGAATATCAGCAGATAATGTCATAAATTTAAGTTAAAGAATTTGCAGTGGTGGTTTTGTGAATTATAGTTTCGTTTCCCTGAAACTTTAACAATTACAATTTGTTTTGATTTTAAAGGAAATGTTGGGTGAACTCTTCACTCCTGTAGAAACACCTGAAGCACCAAACAGGGGATTCTTTAAAGGCTTATTTGGAGGTGGTGCACAATCTCTTGATAGAGAAGAATTATGTAAGTTGATTTATTTAATTTGGATAATATATCTATAAAGCAGAAACATTCAATCCATATCAATTTTCCTTACATGTATAAATTATGTTCTCTTTTCTTCCTTTTTGTCACAATAATATATCTGTGTTCTAAAAAAATAAAATTATTTTCTGTCATTCTGTTTCAAATCAGGGGAATATTTTACTAGAGGAAGCCAAATCAAAATAGCCTCAGGTAGTTAAAAAGGAGTATACACAACTTTAAATGAATAACTTAAAAAGTCTTTTCTTTATTGTCATTGAATGGTTATCTTCCTTATTATTTTAATTCTATGATTGCCTTTATTTGATGACCTTAACTTTGAAAAAGTTTTTACTTAAACATTTAATCTATCTTGTAAGACCTCCAAAACTATTCTCACTGTACTAGAAAGTTATTTAAATAGCAAAGTCTGGTTCATTTACTACCTTCCACATATTGACACAAATTAATAATTTGTCCTTAAATGAATGAATGAATGATTCAACGAATTCTTGACATTCCTTTCAAATGGGAGCTGTTATATGTTCTGAAGTTTTTTTCTTTTTCTAAAATATTTTAGAATTTTTGTTTCATGTTTGACTAATTAGGAAAAGTATAACATTAAATATCGGTTAGTAGCAGTGCAATGCAATTTCATTTTAACTTTTTCTAAAATATTTTAGAATTTTTGTTTCATGTTTGATTAATTAGGAAAAGTATAACATTAAATATCGGTTAGTAGCAGTGCAATGCAATTTCATTTTAAAAACTTACCCAGGTGATTGGTTCATAGTTTTAACTCAGTTAAAAAAAAATTAAGACGGCTCTTCAAGTCAGTGAGGATCAATAATTTGGAATAACATTCTCACCAAGGAAAAACATTTTTTTTTTTTGACTTAGAGTATATCTGTGACCTACCTTGGGGAGGAGGGATTCTAGTTTCTATGGTTTGCCTTAGGGGAGAATGAGGCTGAGAGACAGGAGAGCAGGAGAAGGTCAGAGGAAAACTTTGCTTTTGAGGCTGCTTCCAAGGCCTTCACTTTGGGGTATCACTTTCTGGGCCCCAACAGTACCATGCCTGAACATTTTATCAGGTAACTGAAAACTGTAAAACTCAGTACAGTAGATATGAATAAAACTGAAATGAAATTCTAAACTGAAAGATTCAAAAACCAAAACTGAAAAACCAGTGGATGGCTTTAACTGCAAATTAGACACAGGTGAAATAACTCAAAGATAGGTGAGAAGAAATCATCTAAAATGCAGCAAAAATAAAAAAAAAAAATCTAGAATACAGAGGAGAGGATAAAATAATAAAAGTTACAGTGAGAGAATCTAACATGTGTTTAGACCTCAAGAAGAACTAGGAAAGAATACAAAGAAGAATCAATATATAAAAGAGATATGCAGGAAAATTTTTTAGAATTGATAGATGACACAGTTCCACAAATTCAAGAAACCTAATGAATTCTGAGGATTTTTAAAAAAAATTTTCGGGCCGGCCCGGTGGCGCACTGCTACAGTGCACAGCTTGGGAGCGCGGCGGCGCTCCCGCCGAGGTTTCAGATCCCACATACAGACCGGTTCCCGCTCACTGGCTGAGCGATGTGCAGGCGCAACATCGAGGGTTGCGATCCCGTTGCCAGTCCCGGTCTGGTATGGGCGCGACACTGAGGGTTGCGATCCATTGCCAGTCACGAAAAAAGACAAAAAGGAAAAAAAAAATTTTTTTTCAACTAAATATGTCATATGAAGATATACCTGAAGGACAAAGTCTTTCAGTTGGCTAGAGAAAAATGATAGATACCTTTTAACAAGCTGTAGACTGATACCTGACTTCTTAAAAATTATACGGTGATCTTCTACATATTGACAGAAGATGATACTTAGTCTACAATTCTTATAGACAAAGAAAATATCCTTCAAGAGTGAGACATTTTTAGACAAATGAACAAGTAAGCCTTGCCACCACGCTAAAAGGAATTCTAAAGTGTGTGTGTGTGTGTGTGTGTGTGTGTGTGCGCGCGCATATTTACACATACGTACTTAATGCAGTCCTAATCAAAATCCTCCCCAAAAATGTGTAGCTGAATCTAAATTTCATATGGAAATTCAAAGGTCTGTCATCACTTCTGTTCAACATTGTACTGGAGGCTCTAACCAGGACAATTAGACAAGAAGAGGAAGTAAAAGGCATGCAGATTGGAATGAAAGAAGTAAAACTATCTCTATTTGCAGATCACAATCTTTTATATAGAAATTCCTTAAGGAATCCACACCAATATAAAGTTTTAGCTAATAAACAATTTCAGCAAGGTTGCAAGATACAAGATCAGCATAAGAAATCAATTGCATATGTGTACACTAGCAATGAACAATCCAAAAATGAAATAAAGAAAACAATTTCATTTATAATACCATCAAAAAGATAAGCCACTTAGAAATAATTTAACAAAAGAAGTATAAGACATGGACAGTAAAAACTTCACAATAGCAATTAAAGAAATTAAGGCATAAATAAATGGACCAGCATCTCATGTTCATGGATTGGAAGACTTTATATTGTTAAGATGGCAGTACTTTTCAAATTGATCTACACATTTACCACAACTGCTATCACAATCCCAACTGTTTTTTTGCAGAAAGCAACAAGCTGTTCCTAAGATTTGTATGAAAACACAGAGTCCAAAGTAGCCACACACAAAAAGAATATTGAAAAAGAAGATAAAAGCTTAAAGATTCACACATTTTGACTTCAAAGCCTACTGTAAAGCTATAGCCATTAAGACAGTGTGGTACTGGCATAAAGATAGATATATAGATCAATGGAATAGAATTGAGAGTACACAGATAAGCCCATGTGTTTATAGTCAGTTGATTTTCTACAAGGATGCAAATAAAATTCAATGGTGAAAGAATGGTCTTTTCACAAATATGTTGGGACAACGGGATATGCACATGTAAAGAAAAAAAAATGAAGTTGGACCCCAACTTCATGTCATACACAAAAGTTGACTCGAATCAAACACCTCAATGTAAGCTGAAGTTATAAAACCCGTAGAAGAAAGCATGGATTTAAATCTTTGTGACCTTGGATTAGGCAATGGTTTCTCAGATATGATACCTCATTTTCAAGCAACCAGAGAAAAACGTGGATAAATTGGAATTTATCAAATTAAAAAATTTGTGCTTCAAAGAACACTATCAAGAAAATGAAAAGACAATCCAAAGAATGGGATGAAATATTTGCAACTCATATATCTGATATCTAGTAGGGTCTAGTATCTAGAATATATAAAGAACTCTTACAATTCAGTAATAAAAAGACAAATAGCCCAATTTTAAAATAGGCAAAGGGATCGAACAGACATTTCTCCAAAGAAAATATACAAATGACCAATAAGCGTGTGGAAAGATGCTCAGCATTATTTGTCGATAGGGAAATGCAAATCAAAACTACAATGAGATACCATTTTACACTTACTAGAATGACTGTAATCAAGAAGACACACAATAACAAATATTGGCAAGGATGTAGAGAAATTGGAACCCTCATACATTGCTGGTGGGAATGCAGTATGTTGCAATCCCTTTGGAAAGCTGTCTGAATTCTCCTCAAAAAGTAACCATATGACCCAGCAGTTCTGTTCACAGGCATATACCCAAGAGAGGTGAAAAATGTATATTCACACAAAAACTTGTATATATATTCACAGTAGCATTTTTCATAATAGCCCAAAAGTGGAAACAACCCAAATGTCCATCCACTGATTAATGGATAAGCAAAATGTGGTTGGTTCATAAAATGATATATTATTCAACCATAAAGAAGGATGTAGTACTGATACATGCTATAACATGGATGAACCTTGACAACAGTATTCTCAGTGAAAAAAGCCACTGCTAAAAGCCACATATTGTATGAATTTATTTATATGAAATGTTCAGAATAGGAAAGCTTATAGAGACAGAGAGTAGATAAGTCGTTGCCAAGGATTGGGAAGAGTGAAAATGGAAAGTGATTGCTAATAGGCATGGAGTTTCTTTCGGAGTGATGCAATGCCCTGGAATTAGCTAGTGGTGATGGTTGCACAGCCTTATGAATAAACTAAAAATCACTGAATTGTTCACTTTCAAGGGGCAAATTTTATGGTATGTGAATAATTTTTTTTTAAAAAGATGAGTGAAGAGGGAATCTGGGATCAGCCTTTAAAGAATTTAAGACTTTTGCAGTGATCTAGGTGTTAGCTAATCAGGGTCTGGATTACGAGATGAGTGAAGAGGGAATCTGGGATCAGCATTTAAAGAATTTAAGACTTTTGCAGTGATCTAGGTGTTAGCTAATCAGGGTCTGGATTACGAAGGGGAAGGAAACAATGAATTCCTAAGATCTTTTAAAGGTAAATTTTGATCTGTTTGGTAAATGCAAGATAAATGGAGAGAAAGAAAGAGAGCAGCATATCTACAACTTTTGGAGAGTGAAATAGAATATTGAATAAATTCTTCATTTTTCTTTACTACATTTTTCTTCTGAGCCTAAGCATAGTATTTTTTTTTAATAAGAAGTGTGGAATAAAACTAAATCAAATCTATATATTTAAATTTAAATCTATATATTTGAAGTTAAATATCTTTAAGTTAATTTATCTTTAATTTTTTACACACTTAAGAGCAACTTTTACTGATATGTAACTTGGTATCAGTGTGCCCATTATTCATTTCAACAAATAATTACTAGCCCCTTTTTTGCACACGTTCTGTATGTACTAATATAGGATATTTATTAATGTGCATTGTGTTTTTGCATGTTTGAAAAAGTATCTAAAAATTAGTAAAACCATCGTAATAAAAGAAAAATATGTAGTAATTATATAGCAAAATATTTAAATATTTCAGTTATATTATCACTCAATCTGATAATTATATTTTGATGCTATCATGTGTAGTAGGATTTTGTATTGATAAAAGTTTTGTATTTTGAGTTACTCTTTCACTTACCAAATCTGTTCAGTTGGAGAGTTGTCCTCAGGAAAGGCCTCAAGGAGTCTTGCACAGCATATCCCTGGCCCTGGTGGCATTGAAGGTGTAAAAGGGGCAGCATCTGGAGTCGTTGGCGAATTGGCACGAGCCAGGTTGGCACTAGATGAAAGAGGGCAGAAACTTGGTGACCTGGAAGAAAGAACTGCAGCTATGTTATCAAGTGCAGATTCATTTTCTAAACATGCTCATGAGGTATGTCTGCCAAACAAATATTAAATTAAAAAACCTTACGTAAAGCAAGTGTGAAACTTACTGTATTTTTATAGCTATTATATTTCTACGTGCAAGTTTTCATAATCCTTTCTACAATTGCAAATTCTTGATTTTTGCCACCAGAGGGAACTGTTTCAAGAATATGCCTCAGTCGCATTTGTTCTGTAATGAAGTTTATAAATTTTGAAAGAACCTGCTCTCGTTCAGGCTCTTTGTAAACAATGCCAGCAGCTTTGCAGCTATTTCTTAGGGAATGCAATAACAATGCTAATTTGCCTTAACACCTCAGAATCTACTACCACTTGTCCTTGAAGGAAAATAATTTGCCTCTTTTATTCTCCCAGGTAGATCTATATAACAATTGGCAAACATTTTGATGCAAATAAACAATACTAAGTGTGTCTTTAGATTAGCTCATTTGCAGGAGTGGTGAGATGCATTTTGCAACAAGTTCATCTTGATGGACCTAGGAAGTCCTAGTGGAGCTCAGAAACAAATGCTGTCAAGTAGGGACCCCTAACTGGCCTTTTTACAAATATGCTTTGTTGACCAACATAGTGTTGTTAAACTGAATTTAAAAGTTTTTAGTGAAATACACATTTTCCATTTTGTCACACAGGTCTGCCACTCCTCGATGCTTTGCACTGGGTTACCTCACACATTTAGTCTGTAGGCTGGCCCTTGAAGACATTTTGAGTTTGTTTTCTGAAGAAACCATATCAAGGTTATTTTTATACTTGAGTGCCCAATGTATAGTAATTGAACTCCTTCAAATTTTTCAATCAAAAGTCATCTCTTCCTTGCTCAAGAATGCTGAAACATACAATGCATGAAAGAGGTAGCTTGACCTGGGAGGTACTTGTCCAAGGCTTCAAAGAGATTCAGAGATTCTTTGTGGGTACTTATACTATGCCCACGGGAACCTCAGGTACAGGCTAATGGCCCTCAGTGTAGGGCAAGGTTTTTGTTGTCAACCCTGTACCTGACTCTGTGATCTCTAAGGCTCATAGCATTTCAGTCAATTTCAGAATATATCCACACTCTAAATAGCTGGCAAAGAGCTCAATCTTGAACTGATAACTTTTCCCTTCTACCAAATGTTGTTTTTGAGCGATGTTTGAGAGTGTAAGGAAGAAAGTACATTGAAGTTATTGTCATGGGTTCTTGAATCAGAATAACTGGGCTCAAAAACTAGTTTCATCATTATGTTACCTTGGTTTCTTCATTTATAAAGTTGGGAGAAAAATAATGCCTAACCCAAGAATTGTTGTAAGGATCAAATGAAATCAATTAGAGAAAGTGTGTCTGTCACTCAGTGCCTGGCTCAAAGTTGGTGCTCATAAGATTGAGATGGCAGTAGTAACAAGAGTTTTGAACCTTTCATTCTTCAAACATTATTTTTAGTTTAAATTAGTTTGAATTTGTAGGTTATTAGCTTAGGTCACCAAATTATGTCACATCTCTAAGAAATTTGAGGACCTTCTAGGCTAATTCTTAATGGGTATAGTCTTTTTTCCTCTAGGTGGAAAAGTTCTTACTTATTGCTTTCAATAAATTGATTTGAAGTAAGCAATATCATAACACTACAGAATGTTTCAAAATGATAAAATGTTTTGGAAAAATATAAAAACCAGTATAATTTATAAATATTGTTGTTCTGGCATTTTAAAAGCCTGCTTTTCTTGTTTTCTCACCTTCAGATGATGTTGAAATACAAAGATAAGAAGTGGTACCAGTTCTGACAACCAGAATCTAATAAGCCCAACTTCAGCCAGAAGGAAAAAGTTTTTCATTTTTATTTCATTGATTCATTTAGGAAAGTTAACATTAAAGGAACGTTCATCACTGAATACTGTTCTTTCCTAGTACAATCATGCACTGTTGTTCCTCAGTCATGTGGCTTTAACTGAGGAGTGTTCACACAAACTCAAACTGATGTTTATGGTGTGTGCTGGCTATGAGTTGACGGTTTGGGAACTTAGCAGATCACACATGACAGATGAAGAAACAAAGGGGGATGTTGAGGAGACATGGCAGGGGCTATTCCTGGATCATTCCTGTATTAAACTTTCTCATATGCCAAAAGATTTTGTGCTGTTGTATCTGCCATCAGTGTTTGACCAGTTTGGGGAAGAGGCAATAAGTCAGAGTCCTGAAGCTAAAATAGTTATATTTATGTCATTGGACTGGATTATAAACAGCTGCATTGGACTTTCCTTTCCCTTAAACTGACTGGTCATCAGTATCATTAGTGAAAAAGAAACAAACTGTTTGTTACCATATCTTTAGACAGATAAGCTGAATGGTGGGCTTTAAATAATAAAAACATACACAGAGTTGACTTGTGTATGGGCTACTCTTGGATTCCTGTTATTATATATTTGTGTTTAGTTCATATTTTGTGAAAAGCAAAACAAGGCGATACATCACTTTTCATTGAAAAGAAAAGTGTACAGCATGACTGAATTGCGCATCATTCTGGGAGTTTCCATGTAGTGGCTATGCAGTGTGGAAAGTGAGAAGAACCTCCATTGTGGTGAGGAGAATACTTCACTGTCCTTTGTCCTTGTTCTCATTAATTCAGCTAAAGGTGGATTTGACCAAAAATAGTTACTGTTTAAATTTGTAGAAATGTTGAAATTGGCTAAGTTTTTAATTTTGCTTGAATTTTTATAAAATGTTTAACCAAATGTACCTTTGCATTATTTAATTAAAGTTGCTAAAAAAAAATGTTTCATTATTTCAGTAAAATGCTCAGCTCCCTTTTAAAAATGCCCTTTATTTGCTAATGGTTCTAATACACTCAGGTGATGAGCCAATTAAATCTTAGTGCACATGCTATTGCATGGAAAATCACAAGCATCTGTTGTCAGTAATTATCTATATAAGAGTCTAGTCTGACGACCTACAAAATATTTTCTGTAGAAATATACTGTAAATCTGTACATATCCTTTCAAGGCTTTAAAAAGCACAAAGGAAAGGAAAATATGTACATTTTGGTAACTAAATTATTTCTGTATTGGAGTATAATACAAATTGAGGCTAGCAATGGACAATGAATGATTGGTTTCAAGAAATAGCATTAAAGACAGGAAAGAAACCACTTGGTAGATCGGGAAGTAAGCAATCTCATCATTCAGGCTAATCTGACATTATCATCAACTGTTGTTAAAGCAACAAAGAAAGTAAAATAGAAGCATTAAAATTAATGTTAATGAATTTAAATATTGTCTTCTATAAAAAAATATTTCAAATCATTTTCTTTTTTCATTAAGAGATAATCAGAGCACAAATTGATAACAAACATGATAGTTGTTTTTCTATTCCGTATCATCTTTAAAGGTATATGTAGAAGATCTTAACTTCACATAGTCTGTTATGCATCTTTTTCTCTTCTCTTCACTAATAAAGCTTTTATGTTTACATTTTATAACACGCACTACAGGATACAAAAGTTTACATCAAAGTTTACTTTAAATATCATTGGGTAGGGACTAAATATATGTGACAGAGATAATTGATCAAGCCAAAAGAAATATTTTAAAAATAAAATAATTTTCAAAAGTTTTTGAAATTGTAGAAAGTAACAATGAATAATATATTTCTGTTTAGTTAATATCAGCTGTCTGATGAACATTCAGCAGTTTAAGAATTGTTTATTTAGTATTACATATTATCCGATAAACCCTTGTTCCATGATGTGTCACAGGAAGTATTAGGTCCTTTCTTAAGGGTACAGTTTGTGCATGTCATCAATAGAATCAACAGTTCTGGATTTAAGGAAGTTAAGAAGCATTAAGTAAATTAACACACTGGTTTATCCCCTATCCATGTGGGCAGGTCATATTAGCTCCATTTATCTAATTTGCTGTGTTATTTTGTGATGTTTGTATATCACCTTTTTTATTTTACTGTCATTTTTCCTGTTGTATATAAAATTAATCAATCTTCTAATTATTTTCTAATAGAAAAGTAGATACATTTACCTGAGATGGATTTTTAAAGAGAATATTAAATTGATGTTTTGAATTATTTTACGTCACTTTAAAATTAATCTGCAAATTATGTACAACAAACTAGAGACTCATTTAAGATTAAAAAGGATAAAGTATTTTTGAGTATAGGAAATAAGCTTCTCAGAGTTATACCTGATTTAGTCTGTAGATAAGAGACAGTCTGTAGTAATAACTAACCCAGGGAATTTATTGTAACTTGAGAGATAAAATCTCTATTTTTTTCTTTTTAAATACAAAAAGTAATAGTCACCAGCAAGCCAATATTTCAGGAAAACTAACCAAAAAATATATATATATATATCAAAATAGAAGATATCAGAAAAATGAAAGATTTTTGTGTGCTTTCAACATTGTTTGGTCACATTTGTCCTTGACTCTAAAATCACTGAAGTATTCACTGATTAGCAGTTTGTCAGTAGGAAGTAGTTTCTTTATATGTATCACATATCTAGTTCATTTCACTTTTTCGAACTAAATCCATATATATTTGCTTAGAAAGTTTTTTGAAATCTTATATTCTGTACATTACCTCCATCTGGCATTTTGCATCACCCTAACACCCTTGGTTTGCATTTCAGTTGTTCAAACTGTTATCAGAAAATGGTTATAGATTGAACTGAGCTATTACTAACTTACTAATTTGATTTTTTTATGGATATGAAAAAATGCTGCTACTTGTCTGTTATTATATGTAAGTATATTACAATTTAATTAAGTATAGTGCTTTAAAGAAAGAAGCATTTCTTTTGCTTAGAATTTCTTAATTGTAGGTTCCTCTGAAGTTATTTCATGTAGATATGTGTTTTAAACAAGTCTGAAAGTGTTACATACTTTTAGGTTACAGAGGGTGCTGGGAAAACAGCTGAGGAAAGGAAGAATATGGGGAAGACACCACGAAGTTTAAAGTTTTACCTTGAGTTCTATATTCCATATATGTTTTGCTTAAGGCATATTGCTCATGTGACATTAGAGAAGCTATATCCAAAGGTAAATTTTTTGTCGCAAAAATTTATTTTACATTTTAACTTTTGGGATTTTGTTTATTTCTGCAAAATAAAGAGCACTGAACTTTAAACTTGAATTTTTTCTGCACTTTTTGGGTAATGAAAACTTTTTATTATCATCTAATTCACATTTCTCAGTTTAAATCAAGTGATACATGTGTATAAAATATACCAAAATCATGAATATGCTGCTAGCTGCACCTTAAACAAACTGATCAATTTTAAAACCATTAATAGGGTTTATATAGTTTTCAGAGATTAAAAAAATAGTAAAATTATTTGCTGTATGTTTCAGTGTTCTTGGTCTTAAATTACTGCAACACTTTCAGATTTGTTTTAAGATCATACAGTAACGTTATATTTATACATACTGCTAGAGAATATACTTTTAGTTTTACAATGGAATTTTTATAAATGTACTCTTTAATTTTAAAAATGGTGAACTTGTTAATTTTAAGTCAAAGTACTTAAAGAGTATGTATATTATCCATACAAAAAGTTATGTTTTACGCTTATAATAAGAAATATTGGTATCTCATATCGAGATACAATTAATTTTAAAAAATCATGCATCATTTAAAAGTCTTCACACATGACAGGAAAGATACCATTACTATGGTTTAAAACATAAAACAAAACCCTCTATTGAGCATTTTAAACAATCATTTTATTTTGGGGGAAAATGCCCAAAACGATAATTGCAAGGTCTTTCTCAATAGTTACAGCTTACTGTTGGATGCCTACCTTAACTATTGTTTTAAAATATAGATATATATAGATATATATTTAAAATAGTTTTCCAGGTATTTTCTTCTACCTTTTTTAAAAATAAATTTCCAAAAATGAAAACAGAGTTTATGTATTTTTGTCAATGAAGGTTTTTATTTTGTAGTTTATAGAATTTGTTCCTTCTCAGTTTGATACTTGATCAATATTCCTAGACTTTTAAATCTGTATTTACTTTGAAAAAGAACACTCCTTTATCTTAAATGTCATTTTCTTTTTTGTTTTTTTCGCTTTTAGGGTGTTTGTTCCCTTGGATTGAGATTTATGTCCACAGACTTCTTTTTTTTTTCATTTGAAAATGAATGTGAAGATACTGTTTACAGCTTTTGTTAGTTGCACTTTTCATCGCTCTGATCAATTTCTTGTTAAGTGCTATGGGGATTATTTTTCCTGTTAATATTAATGATCTTACTACTGCCTCAGAAATTTTAAAGGTTTTGTGGACAGAAAACAGTTGTTGCAACCAAAAAGAAAATGGGGGTGGGGAACTTTAGCTTACCTTTCTCAGCTGAATTAAATGATTTTAATAACTTCCCAATTACCAGGGTTATAACACTGCTTTCTTCAGTTATTAATACAGTCTTAAATTATAACACACAATTCATTTACAAATTGAGTACGGTAGACCAGGGCTACATGTAAGTGCTCTCTTTATTTTACTCTTTACATCAGAAAAATCATGAATGTCAGTCTTGCCAGTATTTTGCTATGAAGCTCATAGTTTAAATTAAAATTTTATAATGTATGAGATGTAAATAAATCAGTATTAATTTATTGTAGGTCATTTGACTCGGGCATTTAAAATGGATATGGGTTAAAGGCAATGGAATCCTATTTATTTGGGAGTTTTTTTTCTTTGATACTTTTGCTGTTTTGTGTTGTCTAAACTTTGCTTCAACGAAAGGCAATGAAAGAACTTGAAAATAGATTCAACATATCAATAGAAAGCAATATAAGGAGGATAATTCATGTTTTAGTTTTTTAATTATTATTATTATTTTGTAAATAAACAGTACTGTGATACTTTAGGTGTGACCTCTGCTCAACATGGTAGAACTAGAAAAATATTTTGCTTTCTAGTTATACTATTGGTTCATTGTAAATGCATTACCAAAAGACAATATGAAGAAGAGCAAGATTAAGTTTTTCTAACATTGTCCACTTCTGGGGCAAGCATGCTTGGTATAGAATTGTAGCTTGTGTATACCTTAAATTGTACATGCAGGTGTTTTTCAGTTGCTGCACTTTATTTATTTATTTTTTTTTAAATCTTGCTCAGTCCCAGTAACTATCTCAAAGGTAATTGCTGGAATATGCATTTGAAATAGTTTAAAAACAAACAAACAAACTCCTGTGTACTGTTTCATTAAAAAAAAAAAAAAAAAAGATTGCAAACACTAAAAATGTGTTAAACTTTGTAGTTATTTTGCGTTCCTGTACTTTACAAACTGTCATCCACAGCAAAAGGTTTAAAATTAGGTAATGAAATATTTTTGTAAATAAATACCATTAAGCTGGTATTTTAAAAAATGTATTATAAATTAATGTTTCTGGAAAATGTTCATATATATATGTATATGAATGTCTCTTTATGCTGAAGGGCTCTGATTGGGCAAAATAAAATACTCTAATCTCTCCTCAAACTAAATAAGCCCTTTTTTTGTAAAATTTGTTTTAATTTTTTTCTGAATTGTGGAATTAACCCATTAGTTTAACCTAAAAATAATTGATAAAATAAATATCCACTTTTACAAAAGGAAAGTCAATTTAATCAGGTAATTCAAGTAAGACTATATGTTTTTTTAACTATTTGGAATTTTTGGTAAAAGTCACCTAACACTGTGTTGAGTTTGTGGAGAATAAAAGAAATAGGAACTAGATCTAGATGCATGCTTCTCCACCTTTAATGTGTACACAAGTCACCTGAAGATCTTGTTAAGATGCAGATTTTGCTGCAGTGCATATGAGATGGGGCCTGATTTTGCATTTCAGAAAGTCAAGTTAATCAGGTAATTCAAGTAAGACTATATGTTTTTTTAACTATTTGGAATTTTTGGTAAAAGTCACCTAACCCTGTGTTGAGTTTGTGGAGAATAAAAGAAATAGGAACTAGATCTAGATGCATGCTTCTCCACCTTTAATGTGTACACAAGTCACCTGAGGATCTTGTTAAGATGCAGATTTTGCTGCAGTGCATATGAGATGGGGCCTGATTTTGCATTTCTAACAAGCTCCAGGCTAATACACATGCTTCTGGTTTGTGGAACATACTTTCTAACAAGCTCCAGGCTAATACACATGCTTCTGGTTTGTGGAACATACTTTGAGTAGCAACGATATGGACAATTTCCATAAATTGGCATTTTGCTAGAAGATATTGTCAGTATCAGTCTCCAACTACTTATTCCAATAATGAACATCACTTTAGTGGAGCTAGAATAATGTAGCTCAAAGAATATCAAAGAGTTGGCATTTTGCTAGAAGATATTGTCAGTATCAGTCTCCAACTACTTGTTCCAATAATGAACATCACTTTAGTGGAGCTAGAATAATGTAGCTCAAAGAATATCAAAGAGTACGTATTTATTGTTGTTTCCCTTGCATTTTAGAATAAAGAATATAATAGTTATTTTATTAAATTGAGGGTTTATTTGACTTTGAAATATATAAATTCTTACTTTGATGCACATCTGTTCCACATGGTGGCAGTCATGTCTCACCTTATTGCATGAGCTTTTACCAAGAAGTGCTTTGTAGTACAATTGTACAGGGGAAGACTTTAGGCTTTGCAAAGGTTAATTTTCATGATAGATACTTTATATCTAGATAACTATTAAACATTCATAGCTATGGAATAGACAAAATATCTTCCTAAGTTATTCATAATTAAGTGGTGTACATCATTTGGTAGAGTGATCTGGCTTATTATCAAAAGAAATTTTAGTATTTTTAGTATTTTAGTATTTTAAATATAGTAAATTTTAGTTTTTAGTATTTAGTGATAAAATTTTAAAAATTGAAAACTGTCTTTATGTTCCTGGTCATGCTTTTTTAAAGAATGCAACTGGGTTTGTCCTGCATAAACGGTACAGTGCCATCCACTGCTTTAGACTGAAATATATTTGTCATTGTAACTCTTAATAGGAGTTTATAGGAAGATTCTGATTTTCCTCCATTACTTTAAAGATAATATGGTTGCTTTGTCATTATGCTTTTTTTCAGTTTTTGTGTAAAAGTTTTTTCTGATAGGTACCACAACGAAAGCTTTCAAAATGCTTATTGCTTACACTAAAACATCTTTTAGAGAAGAGAAGACTTCTCTAAGTTATTTAATTTTTTTTCAAGTGTTATTCATCTTTTTAACATCAGTACTTTAGTGTATATTCTATTCACTCAAACCTTGTGGAAATATTCTAACCTTTAGTTTCAGTCATCTTACGTAATTTTGTACTATTTTTCTTAAATCTCATAGCTTTTTTTTTCCTAACTGCTTTCAAAAGTAACATAAAAGACACACATGTAATTAAAAGTTTCAGACAAGACAGAGTATTTTTTGTTACCAGCAAAGGAAAGAAGTTTGAGTACTTTGCTTAAATATTAAACTGAAGTTTTAATTAATGAGTGTGTGTGTGTCCATGTCCTCCCAAACAGAAAACCCTTTGCCTCTGTCCCTGATAGAGTTCTTTCCTACCCACTTCTCTTTCTGCTCGAGTCTCCATTTCACTTCTGTCTTTATTCCCCATGACTCTCGCCCTAATTTCTTTACTCTTTGGTAAGTTTTATTTTAACCAAGCACCTTTCTGTCCCCATTTATGGGGGATATATTATAATTCCTTTTGTTTTTAGCCCTCCACTGCAAATATTGGGTAGATTAGTAAATAATTTTTATAAACACAATAATGCTATCACTATTCCTTGTAACCTCCAGACACTCAGAATCTCAATAAATAAAGCAAAAACAATTTAGCACATGGAAAGAGAACTGTGCTGAGACAGAGATTCTAAAAGCATAGGAGCACTGGAGGAGTTCATGGGATAGAAAGCACTATGTTAGAGCCCTCAGGTCTAGTCCCAGCCACTTCACTAGGATGTTTAACCAGATGGTGCTTTAACTTCCAAGATCAAAGATTCCAAGAAATCTTAGCATCGCGTGAGTGCAAAAATTAGAAGATTGCATTTCAGAAAATGTAACCCTCCATGTCACTTTAACAATAATATGACTACAGATACCATTATTCTAAGTCATAGTTCTCAAACTTGAGCAGGAGAATGTCCTAGAAACACAATTCTTGTTAAACACAGGTTGCTGGACCACACGCCCGGAGTCTCTCTTTCACAAAGCCTGGAGTGGGGCAAGTTTCCAGATGATGCCAATGCTGCTGGTCTGTAGACCACGCTTTGAGAACTTGATCTAGTGCACATGTCTCTTCTACTAACCTGTAATAAAATTCATAGATAATATACTTGTATATAAATTTGTTAAAATCAATATAATGAGTAAACTAATACACCAGAGATAGGAAACAAAAGAGATTTATAATTTAAAAGGTATTTCAATATATAAATGCTGAGGTTACACACTAGAATAACAAAAAAAAGTCCCCGCCAATTTCCCAGACACTCTGAAATGGGTAACCCCTTCTTCTGACCTCCCTTCCTTTCTGGCACTCATCCGTGAACCCCACATCCTCTGACATTTGAACCCTTGGCCAAGAGAGTAAGACTCATACTAAGATCCATTCTTTCTCATATCTTTTCCCATCCAGCAAGACTGTCACAAATATGTTCTATGCCATGATGTATGTATGAAGCATAGAAAAGTCTAGGCTACTTAAATGCCTAGTTTGTATTTTTAGTGCATTTTGTATTAGTTCCTCTTGTAAGTTTACATTCTGTATTCTATTTAACCTAGTTTTTTAACTGGTCAGAGTGGATGAAAGAGCTGTAAATTTGTTCCTAAGGCCCACAAATCTTAATATCTGGTGTATTTCTGCTTACAAAACTCCCCTTGATAAACAGCAGTGAATTTATTCTACAAAGATTCTTATAGATTATAAAAATCTATTATATGATCTTACTAATGGTTAGTCTATTGCAAACTTTTATTTATTCCTGATAACCAAAACTCGATGTCTGATTATTGATTGTTAGGCAACTCCAATTGCCTAGTATTTCCTTTAAGTACATTAAAAGATGGGCATTATGGGCCGGCCCGGTGGCGCACTGCTGCAGTGCGCCGCTTGGGAGTGCGGCAGCGCTCCCACCGAGGGTTTGGATCCCACATATGGACCGGTTCCCGCTCACTGGCTGAGCGAGGTTCGGGTGCAACACCGAGGGTTGCGATCCTGTTGCTGGTCCCGGTCCGGTGCGGGTGCGACAGTGAGGGTTGCGATCCGTTGCCGGTCACGAAAAAAGAGACAAAAAGGAAAAAAAAAAAAAAAAAGATGGGCATTATATAGAGCTCATTTCAAATGCCAAGCACATCAGCTGGAGTATGAAGACCAGCATTCTGTCCCTAAGTTTACCAGTAATGCCAACGACCTTTTCCAAGTCACTCAACCTCCATTTGCCTGAGTTTTGTTATTTGTAAAAGCAAGATCTAAATATTAGCCTCCTACCTCACACGGTAGTAGTAGGGATATAGTAACCTCTGAAAATCCGTTAGAAAACAGAAATAGCAGACAAACACGAGGCTTTATGATCTTAAAAATATTACTCCCTCAGAAGCTCTGTGAATCAGAAATATATTTAAATAGGAAAGAACAAGCAGAAAGTCTTGTATCAGGATCACCAGATTAATAATATTACTGTTATAATCAGGATAAAAAACTTTTAATAAAGTAATGAAGATCAATGAATTAAAATGTTTAAATTTAATAAGCACCTTTGGTTTCAGCTAAATTTCATCTTTGTTGTATGTCACTCTGGTGCACCAACTCAGACTGCATGTATGGCGTTTCACAATAGTGGTTGCCTTTCAAATACTATTAAAATACTATGTGTTTGCCTTTCAAAATAGAACTGTAACCAAATTCCAGTGCCTAGCAGTTTTGGAGGTTTTTTTAAATTAAACGTATTCAAGTTCATAAATGTTAATTTTTTCTCAGTGGCATAGACAGTAAATACTTTTTGGTGTTTACTCATAGCATAGTTAACATTTTTTATGGATCATTTATAAAATATCTATATATATAAAAATTGTCTGAATTCAGAATGTTGCTTTCCTGTCTATTTACAGAGCAGATCACCTCTCAAATACTTCTTATCTGTTTAATGAGTAAAAGAGAGATTTTGAAGCCAGGTCAAGATCTAAGTCCTTTCTGCTGCTTACCAACAGTGTGACCTCAAGTTACTTAACCTTTTTTAAACACTTATTTCCCTCAAATATTAAATAGGAATAAAAACAGTACCAACTTTATAAGATTGTTTGAAGGACTCCATATAAGAATGGGGAAGAGGTCTCTCCTATCAGGGTACCAAGTGTGTTCCACTCTAATAGAAAGCACAGTGTAGGAACCTGAGCCTGGGCACTGAAGTGAGAACACTGTAGTTCCCTGCTCCACATGTGTGGCCTCAAAGAGGTTATTCAACTTCTCCATGCTTCAGTTTTCTAATCTGTAAAATAGTAGAGATTATTAAATTA